GTATGCACCTCGTGTGAGCCGTGAGAGAAGTTGAGGCGAGCGATGTTCATGCCCGACTTGATCATCTCCTTCAGCATTTCCACAGAGCGAGAGGCCGGTCCTGTAGTCACATGACACAATGCACCATCACTTACTGCTACTTCTGAATTAAGACTATTTAACTTACTATGCGTTTTCTCAACATCCTGCATCTGTTGCTACATGAAAACAATTCAATAAAGATACAGAACAATGGCAGACGGAGAGTTTGGGAAACCTGTCTCGGCTAAAACAAAAAAGCATTTATCAGACAGGACCTGGAGTAATTAAACACCTAAATGACATGTAATCCACCAGAGAATTTACTTAACTTTGATCACACAAGCTAATGCGTTATATTTCTGCTGTATTATAAAGCTGTTTGAAAGTGTGGCAGTAATAGCTTGTAGGACATTCATTTTAAAATCAATCCAGCTGTGTGTGTGTACATGTCGGAGCATCCACTGACCGATGGTACAGATGATTCCAGTGTTGCGAGCGATGGTGGGCTCAGAGTCGATGTCCAGCAGACACATGTGCTCCAGGAAGGTGTCAGCCATGGCAGCGTTGAGCTGCTGCGTCTGGATGAAGGCAGAGCCCATATCCTGAGGTTTAGTGTGGGGCATCGTGGAAGAGACGGGTAATATCCTACAGAGAGAGAGAAATGACATCTGCATGATCAGTTGACTAATCAGACGTCTAGCGGGTCTAGATGTTTGTGTTTCTTATAATGGACAGAGAGACAACAAATGCGAATGCAAATCTCTGAAAACCAGAGTACATATTTAAAGGGTTAGTTCACCCAAAAATGAAAATTAGCCTGCGTTTTACTCACCCTCAAAGCATCCTAGGTGTATGTGACTTTCTTCTTTCAGACGAATCTAATCGGAGTTATATTAAAAATTGTCCTGGCCCCTCCAAGCCTTTCAATGGGGGTAAGCGGGTGTTTGTTGTCAACAGTTCAGAAGACGTGAAATAAAGTCCACGCACTTTATTTGAAAGGCTTGGAGGGGCCAGGACAATTTTTAATATAACTCCGATTAGATTCATTTGAAAGAAGAAAGTCATATACACCTAGGATGCTTCGAGGCGAGGGTGAGTAAAACACAGGCTAATTTTCATTTTTTGGTGAACTAACCCTTTAAGGTAAACACAGCAGACTGTAGCGATTAACCCTAATTTAAACAACAGCATAAACAGTGACAGGATCTCTTTAGGGAGCCTGAAGTCATAAAAGTCAAACGCATTTTGCTGAGAATTTAGAGTCACATAAATTAAGCTAAAGAGCTATCCTCACGCCAGCTCCTCTGAACATGTCAGTGTGTGTGTGTGTAGTAAAGGTGTGGTGAAAAGGAATGGTTCCTTTCCATGGTATGCTATGCAACAGACTCCAGCACTCAGAAATACAGTATGAAAACATTAACAAGCGAATATAAAACCTTCTCTTAGGTCTTTCTCAAGATCACCACAATCCCATGATCAAAGCAGACAGGAAGGGTAGAGCATGACCTTCACATTAGCAACATACGGGTGCTGCAGTGGTTTTGGCTTTGGTTTACGGCTGGTAACCAGAGGGTTTCAGGTTTGTTGACGTGAAAGTTGTTTTCTGAACTCACACGTGCACCAGTGTACTGCATCAGAGTCTGAAATCAAATTACGTTTCATGAAGACTATGGTCAACTATTGGCTACAAAATCATTAACCGAACCGAGTGTTCTTACCTAGCTAGTGGTAAATAGCTGTTGCTAATACTCATGGTAGTATTTGCAAAAAATACAATGTGAAAAGAGACAAAAATTGAGTCAATCAAGCCCTCTTTGAACCTACAGTAGGTAAGACAACCTGAACTTTCATTACAGGAAAACATCTCTATAGCTGCAAGACATGTTAAGGCAATGCTGAGTGAAGATTAGTGGTCGACCGATATATCGCCAAGGCCGATATATCGGCCGATATCTGCCATTTTTCGAATATCGGTTTCGGCCGATAAGTTTTTCTGTTTGGCCGCTATGTTTGAGGCGGGACTTTTATTTTGACGGCGCCGAGAACGGCTGCGGCAGCGCCTGAGCGCACAGTGCTCACATTCTCCCTCTTGTTCGCCGTTGTCATTCAGTTCTGTCTAATACGGATAGAAGTCTATCTAATAATCAGATAGAACTGTTAAACAAAGGAATTAAAATGTATACAAAAAAGTATTATAACGATTGCTTTAATATTATTAAAGGCTAATTATACTTTCTCGTTTGCCGTCAGCATTCCGCAAATACGCATTTATATAATTTAAACAAATCTTTGAATGACTAATGAACATTTAATTTCACAAACCTTGCAGACTTAGTCGAATCTAGTTGAGATCTTGTGAAGGGTGCATGTGACCTGCATGATCGCGTGTTCTGTGACGGTCGGTCCTATGGTCTGTGCAAATTGAATATGGACAGGAGGAGAGTTCAGCTTCACTGGAGACATGCGATCGACAAACTTTAAACTCGTGACTGATTTCAAATTATGCTGCGCTTTATGTATTTGCCCACTGTCATATTCATGTCATTTTCACTCTGTGCTGTATGTAAAATGAGTGTTACCTTGGCTTTATTTGAAAAAATATGATTCCCAATGCACACAAACTTCCCAGAATACTGAATGCCCTGTTGGTTACAGTGTTTACTTCCTTTTTAATTATATTTTTATTATATATTTATTTGTGAAAAATACTTTGTCTTCTAGAGCAGTGTTTCCCAACCGGGGTGCCGTCTGTCGAGCAGGGGTGCCGTGTAACAAATCCTTTTTTAATATTTTTAAATCGCTAAATTGTTTAAAAAAGCATCTATTATATAATATCCATTTCTGATGTCGCCAATAATTAGAGATGCACCGAAATTTAAATAAAAAAAAAGTTAAATCTTAACCCTACTGTTAGACCTACCTGAAAAACTAAAAAGCAATTTATTTAATTCGAAGGCTTGTCGTTATTTTTTATTTGTGCTATCATTATTAATTTCTTTATTTGTTCTTATTTTATTACTGACTGCTTACTTATCATTTTTTATTCAATTCAAAGTTTGAAATCAAGCTATCTCGTGCTACTGCAACACAATTACCCCACTGTAAAATAAAAAAAAACACTGAGTGAGCTAGCTAGTTATAATGGTAATTAAATGTTTACATATGTATAAAAGCCTACATTAAAATCTGTCATATAAATTGGTCTCTTCATTAGAAATTAGCCTACTGATTGCCACCATTGATGGACA